TCCAAAATAATGTTGCTCATGTTCAGTGTCGCGCTCACATGGACAATCATCGTGTGTTAAGCAGGGATTGGAGCTAAGAATATAACGCAGCTGCCTGGTAAGCAGCACAAATGCGTCTTACACTAAGCCCGCTGACGCAGGGTGGAGGGAAATGCTTTAAACCTTCTTTCTCCACCTGCTGGCTGAGAGGAAGATGGTGATACTGAAAACCAAGCCCGTGCTTTTGGAAATGGTACATCAGAAACTTGGTCGGTCAGCCTAGGTGCCTGGTTTTTTGTTTTTGTTTTTTCCCAGAGAAATGTTTGGAGCCAGAATAAATTGTTCTCATATTTTAATGGTGATGCTCATAGGTAAATTGCTCTCTTGTTATTACTTATGTAAGATAACTGGTACCACCTTTTGAGTTTTTAAGATTTTTATTTAGCCACTAATGTTTAATGTTTTCATATGATATTATGATCATATGAAAAGTAGAAGTTTTCAGTAAGGAAGAGTGGATATATTTATACATGGAACCTTGGTTTTTATGCTATCTTTGTATGTCTTTGTAGAAATAGCATTCTTCCAGATATTTCATTGACCATGACTTCAATTATGTGAGGATTATGCCAAAAGCCATTTTAATAGGTAGTGATATTTATATTTAAACATAAAGTTTATGTCCTTTTTACCCATTCATATAATTTATTCTGATTAATGTATGAGATATACCAAGCAGCAAAAATTTTCAATAACAAATTGTTTTAAAAATATAATATTATCGAAGAATCAGAAGCTGTTTGAACTAAAAGAATTTTAGAAAAATAAAATAAAGGAATAATGCTTAAATGACCTTTAAATAAACAAAACACAGTAACATGCATTCATCTACCTTATACTATATGTACTTATACATAAACAAATAATTCATAGTCAACTAAAATACAAATTAAGAATACTGAATGTACTAGTAATCTTATAAATATTGCCCAATCTTTTTATTTTGATTGACAGATCTTTTTTCTTTGCTCAGCCAGTCATGTAACTAACGAAAGCATTTTCAATCTGTTTTCCCACTTTTAGTTCACTGGGTTTATCAAGTAAAAATGTCTGCTCTTATTTTACCAGGGAAATGTTTAATAGAATTGATTTTCAGCACAAGTCACTGTAGTCATTCAACTTTTCAGTAAATTGTGCTTATTGTTTTTCAGACTTTTGATCTTGATATGAGTTTTTGTTACTTTTTTTAATCATGGCATTATTTAAAACTAGCTTCCCTATATATTTAAAGGACATGTATGAACACATTTTGGGTATTTTGTGAAAGAGTAACTGTATAAGTATTTAGTAAGTATTATAAGAAAACACAGTGAGCAAATAGTAAAGAAAGCTCTGCCATGTGCATTTCTATGTTGACTATAACTGAAAGGAAATAGACATCCTATTTTAGGCCCAAATAACCTTCTGTGTGGACAATTTTAATAGCTGCCTAGCTGTCTTCCTGTCTCTAGCTCCTTTCCACTTCACTCTGTTATATTTCCCTGTGGGACTGATCTTTATGAGAAACCATACTGGTCTTCTGTCCAACAATGAGCCCAGTATTCCCCACTGTCAGAAAATCGGGTAGTAAACACATAAAAATAAAACAATAAAAACTTTGTAAGTTCCCAGACCTCCAAATTGGCTGCATCTAACCTTTCTGACTTGATTTTCCTACATAAATCCTCCAGGCCAACCTCACGATTCACCATCACCTCTAACTGCCTTAAGCTTCCCACTGACGAGTATTTGGTTTATTCACTTATTTGTCCATACAGCAGTGCTTTTGTCCTTCTGAGCCATGCTGAAATACATTAAATCCTATCTGCGTAAAGCTTTCCCAGATCAGCGTGAAGAGAGTGCAGAATCCCTTGCTGTCGCTGTTGCCTGTACAATATACTCAGATCTATTGTATAATGTGTGGTGATATTTCTTCTGTATTGTCTTGATTTACATTATCATTTAATTTTTCATAAATTTGTCTTACTTGTTAAATTCCTTGAGGGCAGAGGCTAGATGTTACTCCATGCTATTCACAGAACTTTATAAATTATAGATATGTAATGTATTGGTTTATTTGCTTAGTTTATAAGACCAAGTTTTCATAGCTAAAGATTTATCATTATGTTTCTCTCCAATTCTTCCCCATAAAATTTGCTAAGTATTCTCTATTGTTGCCCTAATGTATTTTCTATGCCCACTGGGAGACTACTATGTACAATGTATTTTCATAACTATGCATTTTGTTATTCCATTATATTGTAAGTATTTTGAGCCCAGGTCTGTGCCGCCCACTTTGTATCTCATATTCTACTTTGTGAGTGTAAAACACAGATTAGGCATTCCGTAAATCTCAGAGAATGGTCAGCTGAAGTTCCAACTAAAGGGCCAAGACGATGTTGCTCTCAGATACCAAAGTGAGTTATAAGAGACATGCTAATGCAGAATGTCACAATAAATACAGAAAATGGCCTCAGGCTTTGAAAGACGTATCTTTATCTCAAGGGTATGTGAAATTCTTGAGAGGCAGTTTGTCCATCTTTTTTTTTTTTCCTGTACTGGGAATCAAACTCATGACCTTGTGCTTGCCAGGCAGGCGCTGTGCCGCTGAGCTAAATCCCCAGCCCCTTGAGAGGCAATTTGAAGCACTGGGTTTATGAAGAGATTTCTTTGGAGAAAAGAGCTGCCATGTTACAAGTTGTACAGTACCCTCAAGTTTCCAGTGGGTTACATTTCAATCCCCAGCAGAGTGAGATGGCTGAAAGGACGGTATCAGAGTCGTCTACACTTAGGATGAGGAGAGAACCCATTAATTTAGAGTAGACTCTCCACCTCCTTGGAGAATCTAAAGATGAAAAACTGTGGCTAATTCTAAGAGAGTGGGAGGAAGATAGAAAGAGAGAGAGAGAGAGAGAGAGAGAGAGAGAGAGAGAGAGAGAGTTGCTGCTATCCTGTGCTGGAAGACCAATAAGGCCCCTAAAATACAGGTCAAAGGTACGTGCGTCCTGAGGTCGAGACTGGAAACCTGTGACAGAAGGAGTTTCAGTCAGTGGTCCAAGTCAAAGGGAAATTTTCCAGCAGGCCCCTGTCAGAAGATGAGGGAATGCCAATGGAGAGAACTGGTGAAGAAAGAGTCAAAGCCAGTAAACCAGTGGCCGTGGGATGAGGGACAAGGAAATGGGAGAGCAGCCAGTCGGCCTCACAGGTCCCTGGAGTACATCTCAGCTGGAGGCCCCAAGAAACTTAGAAAAATCAACTTTAAAACCTTCCAGGCTCAGAAGACATGGAACATCCTCAGTCAGGCCAAAACTTTCTGAACCCCTTCTCTTCTCTACAAGCTCTAGTCTTCTAGAATCAAGAACATAGAAGTCTGGAGGGGAGGACGGCAGAGAAGCAGAATATGAGGGCAGAAGCCGGCCAGGTCTTCTCACAAGACATCTGAAAGTGGGCCTAGCAGACGCAGGGAGAGGATTCGTGTAACTCTAAATTGCACTGAGACTTTTTTTGGTGAATGGTCATTTCAGTTATTATGAATTCTAAAAAATTTATCATGAATCTATTATCCAACAACAATCATAAAATTCATACACTCTTCTGGAGATTTTATCCAGAGGGAAAAAAAATCTTCATTCCATTAATTATAGTGAGAGGGAAAACAATCAGTGTTTTACTTTGGTTATACCTCATGAACTGTTCGATATTCTTCTTCCTGAAATACTTTTGATTATTTTTGTTTTAAAATCCTGTAAAGTTAAAATACCTTCTAATGAAAAAGTTTAAGCTCTTCATAAAATCAGTTAAACAAAACTTGCATTTCAGTTGAATTAAGCACCCCTTTAGAAATAAACTTTATCTATAATTTTATGTCAGTTCTCTCTTTCTCTAAGGATGAGTAAGTAACAAATTAGTTCAATTCAGTTCTATCATTTCTATTCATCAAACTTTTTAAAACATGTACCCTTAGCACTGTTCAGGCCCTGTGGGAGACAATAAAGAGGATTGTAAACCTTCCTTGTTTCCACAGAGCTTGCCATGTTTTTGAATTAATAAAGATAGTATGAAAGTAACTTAAATATTGGACAATATCAGTACAACAGGATCCAATGAAGTGCCTAAATATAGGCCACATAAATGGCAGTGTACAGTCAATGATTAATGTTGTTTAAATGGATCTGAAAATATATACAATGAGTACTTTGGGCTTCAGATCAGACTAAGTGCATTACAAAAAAATGTTAAGTTAGGAAGGTCATCACTAATTAAAAAAATTACTTAGCACATGCCAAATATGAGTGAGCACTAAGCAAGCACCAAATATGGTGATGCATAAAACAGACATTTTCTCTTCTCTCATAGAACTCACAATTTAATGAGATTATAGGCTATTAAGTTGTCCATTTAAGTCTTTTGCTATATAGTTATGCAATTTAGGTACCACCTAAGCAGGAGTTTGTCATGAGATATATATCTGATTTATACTGGAATTGTTTGGAGAGGAGGGAATTGGACCCTTCCATTCACCTTAGAACCCCTATATTGATGTTTATATCCAGCAAATTTTGGTTTCAGGAGTTATGGAGAGCTACAAGAAAGAAGGCAAAAGCTGTATTTTGAAATAGAACAGAGTGAAATAGCAGGATAAAGAATAACCAATACTAGTCCACAATTATGCAATCATTTGCATCTAGGATCACGTCTAGGAGCAAAATTTTTCCTTTTCTTCCATTTTTAATGACGTTTACTGTAACATGGATGTTAGGCAAGGGTAGACTGAACCACCTACTGTAATCAACATTATTTCTAAAGGATGAATTCAAACTCTGCTATGACTGCTCTGCTCTGCAGAACACATGTGAAATGAGATCACTGATGTTAGTTTTCTTCAAGGAATATATTCTATTACAGTTTTAACCCTAAGCCAGCTCTGTCATATTTATGATCTGAATATGCACAATTTTCACTTATTGTTCCTTATTTAACAGGAATTCACTGTGAAGAAGACGTCAATGAATGTTTATCAAACCCCTGCCAAAATGGTGGCACCTGTGAGAACTTGCCTGGAAATTACACTTGCCACTGCCCATTTGATAACCTTTCAAGCACATTTTATGGAGGACAAGACTGTTCTGATATTCTCTTGGGCTGCACACATCACCAATGTCTAAACAGTGGAATTTGTATCCCTCACTTCCAGAATGGCCAGCATGGATTCAGCTGCCTATGTCCGCCGGGCTATACTGGGTCACTGTGTGAAGCTGTCACCACACTTTCATTTGAGGGCAGCGGCTTCCTGTTGGTCACAAATGGCTCGCGTACAGCGCAGAGCTCGGTTTGTAGCATCGCCTTCAGCTTTCGGACCGTTCAGCCTGTGGCACTTCTATTTTTCCGGGGCAACAGAGACATGTTTGCAAAGCTGGAGTTGCTAAGCGGCTACATTCACTTATCAGTCCAAGCTCATAATCAGTCCCAGGTGCTTCTGTACATTCCCCACAACACCAGCGACGGACGGTGGCACTCAGTGGAGGTGGCGTTTGCAGAGGCTGTGACCCTTTCCTTAGCTGACAACTTGTGTAAGGAGAAATGCACCGCTAGCGCTCCCTCTCCATTTGAAAGGAATCAATCAATATGTGCTTTTCAGAACTCTTTTTTGGGTGGTTTACCAGTGGAAATGACCAGAGATGGTGTTGCCCTGCTTAACATCTATAATACAGCATCCACACCTTCATTTGTAGGCTGTCTCCAAGACATTAAATTTGATTCGAATCATATTACCCTGGAGAACATTTCATCTGGCTTGTCATTAAATATCAAGGCAGGCTGCACACGAAAGGATTGGTGTGAAAGTCAACCTTGTCAAAACAGAGGACGCTGCGTCAACTTGTGGCTTGGCTACCAGTGTGACTGCTACAGGCCCTATGTAGGCCCCAACTGTCTGAGAGGTGAGAGAAAGCTGAGCACCAGGAGGGCTGTGCCTCTAGGCAGATCAACATAAAGACAGCCCGTCTGCTACTTCTCATTATGCTACCTAATGTCCCCTTGCCACTTAGGCTACTACTATTTGTCCAATAATGCAAAAAAAGAAGAGGGAGGTGATGTGTATTAATTTTGAGTGATTTCATAGGACATTTGAGTTTCACTCAGACATAGAAGTAAAACAATAAGCAAATAGCCCCTATCCAAATTGGTTTTCATCTTGGTGTGACATAATGCTCTTAGAAATTTCACCATTTGTTATATATCAGGGATTTATCATAAATCTTATTTAAAAGAAAATCTTGTGGACAAAAAAGACTTTTACAGACTAAATTAGTCATTGCCACATAAGAGCAGAGTATCTCGTGCCTTGTAGATTCTCAGTAAATACTCACTTCCTTGCTCTCCTTCAGATGCAATTCACCCTTGCTCCAAAGTCATGTTTCAGTTCATACATTTACAAGCCACCAATTTCATTCAAAGGCATCATCTCCAGGACTGTCTTGAGAAAACAGATAGATGTCTCAAGAAAAAAAAGGAAGAAAAAAATGTGAAAAGTAACCACAGTGAAACTTGGTAAATGCCATAAATGAATTGGTCTAGTTTCTCTAGCAATACAAGTTCTTATTTTGAGCATCATTCTGAAGATAGCTGCTGATAGTGATCAATATATACCTGCATTATTATTATTGTTATTATTATCATGCATTGTAAAAATCTGAGAGGTTATTGTAATCGACTGCTTTGAAGTTCAGCCCTAATTTACTCCAAGATTTCAGAGTAACTTGAAGTAGGACAACATCTGGTAAATAGTCTTCTCTGCTTTATATAAAGTAAAATTAAAACCAGTCTTAGCCCATACCCTACTCCATGTTCAAATGGCTAAGAATTATTAGAAACTATTCACGAGTTTCTCCCTGACCACAATATTCATTACAAATCATGGACCTGTTTGACAATGAGGTATGACATCTACTAGCTCTATGCAATATTTTAAACAGAATGGCAAGTTGTTTTGTGATTTTTTTAAGGAGAAAAGGGGAAATTATGCTGAAGCAATGGCTCACTTTTTGAAGAAAAATTTAATTGACCCAAGGCAATATTTTTACTACATATACAAAATAACAAACAGATGCTGACTCATTTTGACTGGCTTCCAGATGCAGTGACCCATGAGGTTAATACTGACCATGGTGATGCTAACTGTCCTAGTAAATGTATTCAAGAGATGCCAACCCAGTGTGTTCTGGTTTTCTTTAGTTTATTTTTCCCAACTTGGAAAATTATGAACTTTTAAAACCAAGTTCCTAAATTGGTTACACGTCCTTACTGCCCCTAGCACCCCTACACTATTTGAAACTATTTAAACCCCAGGAGAATATTTGGCTTTAAGAAATTACAGGGAGGCAGCTTTGTGAAATCTTTTCTTTCTGAAATTTCTTCAGATAAGTTTAGGGGAAACTCTATTTTTCATATCACTTCTTGGTCATAAAACTAAAATATTCTGTATTGGCTCTTATCTATGAAGAATGTTCTCTGGGAGTCTACTTCCACTATAAAACATGCTTTAGGGCAGTAATGAGAACTTGGAGTCTGCTATTGCTGCACATGTAAATTCAAGAAGAGATGTACTAAAAAACAAAGGCAAACTTTACCCAAATCATTATTTTGCACAATGTTTCCCAATCATGGTACATACTGCAGAGAACAAGTAGAACAGGATAGAAGATTTAGTTAGCTGACTAAACACAAAAGACAAAGGGATTTCCAATATCTTGAAGTTGACCTTGCTAAAGTGTTCTAAACTCTCAAGTGGGACAGTTCTGAGAAGAGTTCCCCTAAGCACTACCCACAGAACTGTCTATAAGGTTGTCTCAGCGTGGCTTGTGTTGATTGCATACAGAAACATGAAACTTCTGAGATATTTAGATTTGTCACCTACCTTTGTTACTCTGGGATAATATTTGATTTATAAAAGCAATCTACATGTGTTTTACCTTCTATTTTACATCTAGACATTGAGAATTTTATCATCCTAGAATTACAATTTCACATATATAGAAGAGGCTTTATTCCATGGCTTTTCCATTTTTACACTATTGGGCCTGCCCGGTATAATGGTCCAAAGCTCTGCTTAAACATCTTCATGAATGGAGAACTCAGTCTATCACGAAAAAGTTTCCAAACAAGTCTTTTGTTATATTTAAATGAGGTATGATGCACACAAATATCTCACTCATTTACCACATTTTAATTCTTGAACATGTTCATATAAATCTTAACATATTTATATGAGAATATTTATATATTTGAAAAAATCTTGCTCCATGCAAGCCATCACTTCTACATGCTACACCTCCCAGCTTCGACTGTCTCCACATGGCAGTCTTCAGACCCTTCCATACCTGCTTGCTGACTTTAGAATAAATTTGCTTATCTGTCTTCTTTCTAAAATATGGTATCTATGTGACTTGACGCTAAACAGTGACATAGGATCATAACCTCTCTTATTCTGTACACTATGCCTCTGGTTTGCAGCTTAATGTTACACTGGCTTTTTCTGACAGTCATATTACTTGGTTGCTTTGCTCTGAGTCATTGTCTGTCATGATGTCACACAGTCTTGCTCTAAGCCCATGAGACACATTTAGATATGTGTCTTTTATTTATTCTCATTAAATTTCATCAACCATTAAAACTTGTCAAACTGGTTTTTCACTTTTTATATTATTTATCATTAGGACATATCAATGACATGTATGAGAATCATTCCTTCCATGTGCACAGCAGGGTCACCTGTGGCTTCAGGTGTTTCTAAAATCATGTAGCACATCACACATTCTGACTACCTGCTTGTGATTTCTGAAGAATTGGATTACCGGAGAGTCAGGCTTCTAAGCAAAAGAGAAAACAGCTCTGCGTTCTGTCTTTTAATCTGGATCCACAAAGTAATGCTGCAGGCATCGTCTGATGACCAGCGGGGCCTCTACTCCCTGAGGTTGAGTGAGTCTGTGCATATCCTCAAACCTCAAGGGCTTCAAGAGCCAAATTTTCTTATTAAGCATTTTATCTCATATGAAAGTACTGCATGTATTCAGAGATGTTAACCTCTTCAAAGGGGTTATTTCATCTAACAGTAGACTTTGAAAGCTACCTGTAGTTGCCTGGAGCAGGTGGTCTCTACATGCAGATTCAAACTGCAATGTTGCTGTAGGAAATCAAGTTAGAGTTCTGAACAGTGTAGCTGTTTATCCAGGAGGTCTTCAAACAGACTGGTTCCTAAGCAAGTTTCACTGTAATTCAACGAAAGTAAAGTACGTCTGACCTCTGCCCACACTTCCACTGGGCCATCTGATGGCATTTAAGCATACAAGAATATGTTTTCTTATTTCTGGTTATGACTGAGATGTGAAAACCTAAAGGCAACAATATCATCAAAACATGCTCTTGTCAAGTTCATGGATGATTCCTTGATTGCAAAATCCAGTGGTTAAATCTCAGCCCTTTCTTACTTGACCTCTCAGTAACCGTTAACACAGTCCAACACTTGCCCTTCCTGAAAATTCTTTCCTGCTTATGCTTCTGGGCTGTCACTGTCTCAGGGTCCTCTCATCCTGAGAGGATATCATCTTGTTTGCTTCCAATTGTACACTGTTGAAGGGATCAGTTCTTGTACCTCTTGTGTTCTCTCTGTCTCTACATTCATCGTTGTAATCTTAGTCTTGTTGCTTTAAGTCTTTTATATTCACCAAAAATTCCTAAATTACTAACCCAGGACATCTTCCCTGAACCTCTGTATCAACTACCTATTAGTTATCACCTCATAAATATCGTGAGGCATCTCAGATTAATATAAATTCCCATCCACCCACAATCTGTCCCTTTAATGTTCTTCCCCATCTCTATAAATGGAAACCTCTTCAAGGTTTCTGGTTGTTTGGGCCAAAAATCTTGAAAAAGAACTTGTTCTAGAAGTACTACCTTGTTCTACTTGTTCTAGATGTGCTAGAAGTTCTATCAGTACTACCTTCAAATTATTTTGAAAATTGAACTACATCTTACCACCCCCACACTTCTGGTGAGAACTAAATCATCATGATTCATCTCTGGAATTACTACAGTAATGTCCCTCCTTTCTTTGGGTTTTTGTACAGATGTCATCTTCTGAGAGAGCTCTTCCCTGACTATTCCATTTAAACTTAAAATTGTACCTTTAACTCCTAATTTTCCTATTTGCTTTCTCTACCTAAAGTATCTTATATCAAGTGATTTCTTACCTCCTGACATACTATATACTTTATTTCTTTATCTGTCTCTGGTGTGTCTTTCCCTAACTGGAATACAGCACAAGCTTTATAAAGATGGCAATTTTTGTTCCTATTATATCATCAATGATTTTAGACATCAGATTTCATTGTTTTCACATCTCAGGACGTCTTTTGAGATAATGCAGGTGGACAGCATTGCCACGTCCATGTAATCCTCACTCTTTTGGCCACAGGAAAGGCTGGATGAGTTCGGCACACTGCTTTCTCCCGATTTCCCTGTCCACAGTGCCTCTCCTTCTTCCCAACCAGGACCACAAAACAGTCCTCTTCTTCCTCCGTTCAATGCCAAATCTTTTACTGTGTGCATTTCCTCTCAAAAGAGGACTTCCTAGTCTCATTCTTGATTTCTGTCCTTTACCAAAAACAATTAGGTTTAATGCCACGTCTGCTTCGTGTCTTCCAACTGGCGTATACAACTGCCGAAAAAGTCTGTTTACAGATGTTGCATGAGCGCTCTTCCTTAAAATTTCTTCTATCAAATTGCATTATTAGGTGTCTGACATTTCACCACTTAAGTTCCACTATTTCATGGCAGTGAAGGGGAAATTCTTATCTGTGCCGAAATATTCTGTTTTGTGCTTAATGAATCTCAACCATAACCCAAACTGTAGTTATTTTTAAATAAAGTAAACTCAGGAGCTCATAAAATTAGGCCAAATTGCTATAATATTGAATCATTCTATCTTGAATTTGAAAAGTATGTGTGAATGTATATGTGTACAGAATGTTCATGTCCTGTCTCTTCTTACCTTGAGTCTTAAGATGTTTCTCTATGTCTCCTCAATTCCAACACTGAAGAGTACGTGGCAGGCAGATTTGGCCAGGATGACTCCACCGGATACGCTGTCTTCAGGGTCGATGAGAATTATGGGCAGAACTTCAGCCTCTCCATGTTTGTGCGAACGCATCGCCCATCAGGCTTCCTTCTCGCCTTGGAAAATGGCACTTACCACTATGTTCGTGTCCGGCTAGAGCAGGGCAGACTAGCACTGCTGACTCCAGGCTCTCCAAAATCACTAGTAACACTTGTTCTAAGTGACGGAAATGTCCACTTAATATCTTTAAAGATCAAGCCAAACAAAATTGAACTGTATCGGTCTTCACGAAAGCTGGGATTTGTTTCTGCTGCTACATGGAAAATCCAAAAAGGAGATGTCCTCTACCTTGGCGGCCTGCCCGATAAGCAAGAGACTGAAAATAATGGGGGGTTCTTCAAAGGCTGTATCCAAGATATAAGACTAAACAATCAAAATCTGGAATTCTTCCCAAATTCAACAAACAGTGCATCCCACCACCCAGTTCTTGTCAATGTGCTCCAAGGTTGTCCGGGAGACAATGTCTGCGAGGTAGGATTATTCATGTAACTGTGGACAGATTGTATGCTAAATTTTTATTGTATGCAATATATAACTTATTAAGACAATCTTTTGTAAGTAATGTCATAAAGATGTTGTCACTGACTTTCAAAGGATAGTGTTTCATCTATATGTTCCCAGATAAACAGGGATTTATATCAAAGAATAAAATGGCAGGCTTGCTCTGGCAAGCCGGTGTGTTTGACAACCAAGATAACTCCCACTACAAGCTTCTCCTACCCCCACAACAATCAAATTACTTTTTTTGTTTGTTTGTTTGTTTTTCCCCGGTACCAGGAACCGAACTCACGACCTTGCGCATGCCAGGCAGGCGCTTTTGTCGCTGAGCTAAATCCCCAGCCCCTCAAATTACTTAAGAATTATGCTTTTATTCCTAAACTCTAATGGCACCCAGAAGTTTAACTGAACTCTTTTGGGAAGGTCTCTTTATCTTAAATGTGTCAAGTTCATGGATGATCCCTCGATTGCAAAATCCAATGGTCAAACCTCAGCGCTTTCTTACTTGACCTCTCAGTAAGGTCAATGTGCTCCAAGGTTGTCCGCTCCTATTGTTTTAAACTTTTATTAAGTCAAAAAGACAAAAACAGCTGAGAGGTAATTTGGACCTGAAATCCTCTGAGATATAATTTCCAGAGTTCTTTTTTACTTACTTCTTTTCTATCCTCTTCTAAGAGGTGCTTTCAATACATGAAACTGTCAGCTCCGCGGAAGCTTTCAAAGGAAAACAGGGGAACATTCTGTACATGTTGGACGTTTGTTGAGCTCTGAGTATTATCATATCCTATATTTGGTCCTAAATATACACAAATGAACCCCCGTGACATTGTTATAGGAACATTTCTAATGTGCCTGGCACTACAAGTATTAATCCATTTAATTCTGTTGCAGGACCACTGTTTCAACAGGCACTATTATTCCCCTTATGTTATTTACAGATGAAGAACCTGAAATTTAGAAAGATGAGGTGTGGCTGGGATGTAGCTCAGTAGTAGAGCACATGTTTAGCACACATATGACCCTTGTTTTAGTCCAAGTACAAACAAAACAAAACCCAAAGAGAACAGGTTTCCATAACCAGCCTACATCATGTTAATAGTAGACCTGGAATAAACACAGTCCAGGCTCTAAAAAAAATTCTTTTCAATATGTTTTAGTTTGAATATTTTGTAAGGGACCTTAAAAGAACTGAAATGATAATAGTATGTCTCTGATTCATAAGCAGAGCAAACAGAGAGAGAGGGCATTGAATTGGGACCCAGAAGAATAGGCACCAAGGTTCGCTATTTCATTTCTTGGTAGGACCTTCAGCACTGACGGGACCTCAGCTTCCTCATCTGTAATAACAGGAGTAATAATTCCTACCTCAGGTGATAGTGTATGTGAAAGTGCCCCATAATTTGTAAACTGCAGAGAACTTTATTCTATTTCAAAAATCTGTGTGTTAGAGATGAATTTTATATTTTCTCTCCTCATCTCCTCTATCACTCGTTCCCCAGCTGCTCCTTTAGAAAACAGCTGGCGGCGGTAGTAGTCAGTTTTAGTCTATATAATTAACAGTGTTATTAAAGTTTACAATCTAAAGATGAAGGGAAATTTGTGTTTTAAAACAAGATACATGCTCTTGCTTTTCGTACTTCCATCTTGAGCTCTGGTGCTTATGCAAGCTGTTGATTTCTTTTCTGCTCAGCCTAACCCCTGCCACAACGGCGGCGTCTGCTACTCCCTGTGGGATGAGTTCTTCTGCGCCTGCCCCGCGCACACAGCTGGGAAAGCCTGTGAGGAAGTTCAGTGGTGTGAGCTCAGCCCGTGTCCTCCCAGCGCCCACTGCCAGCGGGTGCCTGGAGGGTTTGAATGTAGGTAAAGTTCAAAACTATCATCTCTCCAATTAAGCTGGTGTATTGCAGTTGTTCAAACAGAAACATTAAAAAAAGAGTACAGACACAGTCAGGTTTTTGAAGAAATTTGTGTTGTTTCCCTATGCGAATAGTTTGATAGCCCTGACAGAATAGTGTAATGGCCCACATTGATCTCTTGCCCCTTCCTGCCCCGGGTACTTGGATTGAAAATTGATACAGGAACACAAAACATAGATCCTTGGTTATTTGAAGGTGATGTGTGAAGAATAAATCACCTTCCCTTTCCTCATGACTGGGCATAAGAGACTTCCTTAAATAATGTAAAGCTTTGTCTTCTGTAACACAGTATGGGAATGTCTACCTCATAGGTTTCTTTGTGATGATAATATACCATTATGCATATAATCAAACACGCTGGGCACCAGGCTAAGGTTTGCAATGAGCATTTCTCTCCATGAGAAAGATTTGCCTGTTTCCTTCAGTACTAGAACACAGAAGCTCTCAAATGTTAGCAATTTGAATATTACATTCACAATTCTGACATAGTCACATACTAACCATGCTATCATGTATATTGTCTTCTCTCCTACTAGAGAATGCACAGCCTTATCAAAGGCCAGATACAGTTTTAATTGAATCTTAATCTCTTCCTCATTATTCAGAGATTTCGTTTCTGAAAGTTTCTCTCTTGTCAGTCTCAAATTTTTCATTATCGTATAAGCATACCATGAAATTTCCTCGTAACAAAAGGTTTCCCTCTGTCTCCCTCGCCCCATTCCTATCCTCTCCTTCCAATTTCTCTGTTTTCTTTTATAGGGAAATGAAAAATGTTTAAAGAACTGTTCTTGGTAGAGTCTAATACTTTATTCACTTCTTCTCTTCTCCCTTAATCAGGCTCCAATGTACCATCACCACCTTCACCTTCAACTCTTTATACCAGAGCTTCAGAGCTTCCCTTTAACCCCTTCATTCAAATTTCGGCCCAAGTGTCCCTAAATGTGGCTTTTCTTTATATCTTTTACCATTTTCTAATATTTTATTACATGTATATTTCTTTCACTTTTTTCCTCAGTGGAATGTAAGTCTCACAAGGTAGGGACATTGTCTATAGGTTTCTCAAGTTGTTGTTATCCCTTAAATTGTCAACAAATATTTGCTAAATGAATAAATTGACTTATTTTTCTCCAAAATAACTCACTATTTTTACTTAATTACTTTAGACATTAAATATGCCATCTGCTTACATTGAAAACAGACATAAAATACCTTATAAAAACACTGTCCTAAAATAATGGAATGGAACTAGAGAATAGAATGTTTTATGGTTATTACCAACATTTTCCTAGATCTGATCCAAAGCAGTTGAGGAAAAGAGAAGAGATTTAGTTTCATGCTTCTATATTTGAAAAAAAATATTAATAATCTATATGAGGCACATCACATTGTGCATATATTTGGGAAATACCACAAAACCTGTAGAAAAATTTATATATAAATATTTATATTCATCCTTAAGAAAGATATACTACCTACAGGTAAAAAACATGATGTGTTGACATAAAGAATATAACCTGGGTTTTAATGTGGCATGAAGTTTACTTGGTTTATTTATTTTTGTGGTGCTGCAAATCCAACCCAGACCCAGTGCATGCCAGCCATGTGCTCTACTACTTAGCTACACCAAAGACCTGGCACCAATTTTAAATTCAACATTTTCCATTGTTCTACCTTTTAGATACTTGTGAAAAATTATTTATTGATTATAATTTTATTATTCATCTTTTGATAGAAATACTAAAGTTGCTAGCCCCTCTTTGTTCTACAACATGATTCAAGTTATTATGGATATTTTCACAGGGGAATAAAAAAAAGACTGGGGTTTTTAAAAATCAGTGATAGTCAATCAAGGAATGGATAAAAAAAAAATGTGGTCTTTTTTTATAATGGAATATTATTCAGCCATAAAGAAGGATAAGCTGGAGACTTCTATGAGTAAATGGATGCAACTTGAGTCCATACTCATAAGTGAAATAAACCAGATGCACATGTGTAAACATTGTATTGTCTCCCTAGCATGAGAAGCTGAAAGAGTAAATGTGATACAAAATGTACAACAGATACTGTAAAATGGGAAGAAACTTCAAAAGGAAATAGAAACTGGTTTAGAGGAATGGGAAAAAAGAAGGAAGGGAAAAGCAAAAGGAAATATATATATAAGATAGTTAAAATAGTTATATTACTAATTTCTCTCAGTTCATTTGAAAGATAAGCTTGTGCTAATATAATCTGAACAATTAAAGTATGATATTTTGTACTTTGAGTAACTAACTTAAAGATAGCAATATTCAATGTATTAACCAGTGTTAATACATTAATACTCCCATCCTATTGTTCTGGAATCTTGGCTTTCGATTTTTTTGTTTCTTTTTCTTTAAAATAAAAATTAAAGAAATAAAATCAATGATAGCACAAGAATTGGCTACAGTGACTGTTAGTCACACTACACCTAAAGCAGCGTACGACTGAACACATCTCTTAGACAGAAATGTGTCTCTATTGCTACAGTACTGCTGCTGTGGAAAGACTAGAAAGCCTGTCACCAACCCCCCAAAAGTCCGCACAGCATTCTTTTTAAAGTGTGATTTACTTCAGTGAAGAGACAAAATGTAAATTAATAGGCTGCAACAGGACTTGTGTATCAGTTTCCTAACTGACAGGTATGAACCTAGAATTTATTTGTGCTTTTTTGGGTACTTTTAATTCTATGTCCCGTTATGATGGGATTGTGTTTCCTTTTCAAATGAAATATGATGAGGGTAAGTTTAATAGGACAACGTACTCTTGAGAGTACAGCCCTTACATGGCCCCGAGTTTGTCTTGAAAATTTAATCATCTGTATCACTGTGTCCTATCAAGGTTTAAACCAAGATTTGACACTCACTTTAGATATAGGTGTGTTTATTATGGCAAAACTCCAGAAAAAAAGTTCAAGGATAAACATTATATGTATTGTAGTTATTAATCAGATCACAAAAAGTAATATAGGTGTTTTCATCAGAACTGGTGAACCAAATTTATATAGCATCGCAGACAGTGTTCTTTCTTTAGATTGGAAAGCTAATGTCATGCATCATTTTAAACATTTAAAAACATATAATAATGAGACACTTATTGCTTTTTCTCTCCTTACTCCATACCCCAAAACCTGGTGGAAAAAACACAACAATCAAAAATGATACAATCAAGTGAGATTTAATCTACTGATATAATTCACTTCAATTAAAACACTTGAATGATAAACTTAAGTTTTTCACTGCTAAGGTTTCTAATCATTACTTCACTTTTTAAAATAAAGTATGAAGTTCTCTTTGTAGATTATTTATTTAATAAGGTTTACTGAGCACTGTATTCCAGGCACTATTCTGTGTAAAAAAATTGAGTGAAATCCCACAGAGAAGAACTCTACTCTTGTAGAGCTCAGAGTCTATGCAGAAAGACAGTCCAGGAACAAGTATACAAACACTATCATTCCAAATGCTAACAGGAGCTGTTAAAAATAACTGTAATAGTATAGACAGTGGAGGCAGGAAGGAAGTTATTTTAACTTGGACAGTTGGGGAAAGCTTCTCCGGGGAGGTGACATTGAGCAGATTCCGACAGAGAGGACTCAGGTGTGGGAAGGCACGGGAGTGGATATTCTAGGTTTAGGTAAAATGAAAAGGCCCTCACTGGGAACAAACATGTAGCTTTTAGTGAGTGGCAAGCTGCTCTGTGGCTGTGACATGTGAGTGTGGAAGAGTGGTAGGAGTTAGAATGAGAGAGTTCATCAGAGGTCAGGACGCATAAACTCTTGTGGGCGTTGTTTCGAATTTCCTTCTAGATATGATGATACTCATGAAAGTCCTTAGCTGAGGAGAGGTTGTTACATTCATCCTCATGGCCAGAGAAGGAGGAGTGCTAAAAAGTAATTAGCCTATATGAAACATGACAGTTGCTGGCTGCAGGGCCTAAAAAGTGAGGTAATGACAGTGTTTTAAGGTCAATTATACTGAAGATGGAAAAAGTGAGAATAGTGAATCGACCTCTGGCTGTGTAACGCAGAGATCACTGTGACCTGAGAAATGGCTGCAGTGAAGTGACTGGGGCAAAATCCTGAGTGGCTCGCATTAAAAAGAAAGCAGGAAATGAGAAAGTGAAGAGTGAGAGTATAAAACTATTAGAAGTTTAGATGATAAAGAGATAGAGAAACAAAGCAGAGGGCTAGGGGGTGTCAGTGAGTGCTTTGGGATCTTGGATGTGTGAGATTTTCTGAAGATTAGAATTATAAAATATTTGTACACTTATAGGAAAAAACTGAAAGGGAAGGGAAATGTTGAACACAGAATAAAAAAGATGCATGTAAGAATAATGCCTAAAAGGGGTGAAAATGAATGGGGCACAACACATGACTGGGAGGGGGACCTCGATATGAATGAGGACAGTGCATTCATTATAACAGGATGGAATCAGAGGAGATCCTGATATTGTTAGATTTAGAGATTTTGTTGAAATCTACAGCTGTTCTTATTTCTCTTAACTTCTCAAGAATGTATGCAGGAGATTATAGCCCAAGATGGTGTTAAATATTTTAAAAGGTAAAACAAGCTATGAATTCACGATCTTGTAGAATGGGGAAAACATTTTTAAGGGAGAAATGCAATAAGATCACCCAAAATTGCTCTGTTCCCATCCAGTATGTGGGCATGAAAAGAGAACAACTGACATGGCTGCATATTTTTTCCCAGTCACAGAAAGCTACTTGGTTATAGGTAGACAGATGGTAGCTTGGCATATAATTGGAGTTCCACCAGGTAAGTAAATCAGTTACTTGGAATGCTACTTTTAACTGCCTGCTGGTCAGCTTAATCAGAAGCCAGATTGTACTGTTAACTTGCTATGTCCCAGTAGCTAGACTTGTGATTTCTTTGTGTTGAGTTTCTTTATGTATAAAATGGATAATCAATGCCTAATTTACTGAAACAAATGAAAAATACAAATTATCATGCCTTAGGCTTCCAATAAAAAAGGAAACATTGTTTGGATTTTGGTACCAGACCATCCACATTTAACATTCACCTTTATTATTTATTTATGATATGAGAAATTACTTAGCTTCTTCTTAATTACTTCTTTCATAAAAAGAGGATAATATTAACGCCCATGTTCAAGGTTTCTGTGCTAGATATAAAGGCAAGTAGGACAGAACTTGCTATAGCAAGTATCAATCAATCACTATATGAAGTCATTAACACAATTATTATTAATCAAGGTAATTAAGTAAACACAGATTTAATAAAGTTTTTAATTCATCTTGCCTTCTCTCTTTAGGTACTGGAAATGCTCTTTTGAATGGACAAAGCAGTGAAATAGTGTTCAGAAGCAATGGGAATATTATCAGAGAGCTCACTAATATCACATTTGGTTTCAGAACAAGGGACGCGGATGTGATAATACTTCATGCTGAGAATGAGCCTGCATTTCTTAAGCTTAGCATTCAAGATTCCCGGTTCTGTTTTCAGTTGCAAAGTGGCAACAGTCTTTATAGTCTGCACCTCACAAGTCTGCAGCCAGTGAATGACGGCACATGGCACCAAGTGACTCTTTCCATGACAGACCCCCTGGCCCAGACCTCCAGGTGGCAGATGGAACTGGACAACCAAACATCTTCTGTGACCAGTGAAATTGCTACTGGAAGCCTTGACTTTTTGAAAGAAAACACAGACATTTACGTGGGTGACCGGTCTACTGACAACGTGAAGGGCTTTCAAGGGTGTCTGAGTACAATAGAAATTGGAGGCCTTTATCTCTCTTACTTTGAAAATATTCCTGGCTTCACAGATAAACCTCAGGAAGAGCAGTTTCTCAAAATCTCTACGAATTCAGTGCTTACCGGCTGTTTGCAGTTAAATGCCTGCTACTCCAGCCCCTGTTTGCATGGAGGAAACTGTGAGGACCTCTACAGCTCCTATCGCTGTTCCTGTCCCTTGGGATGGTCAGGAACACTCTGTGAACTCAACATCGATGAATGCTTTTCAAACCCCTGTATCCATGGCAACTGCTCCGACAGTGTGGCAGCCTACCACTGCAGGTGTGAGCCTGGATACACTGGTGTGAACTGTGAAGTAGATATAGACAATTGCCAGAATCACCAGTGTGCAAATGGGGCCACCTGCATTAGTGACACTAATGGCTACTCTTGTCTCTGTTTGGGAAATTTTACAGGAAAATTGTGCAGGTGAGCATAAAAGTCCACGCCAAGCTTCGTTTTTGGAGCTGTAGCCTACAATTTCTTTGTCAAATTGGAAATCTCTCCCCTCAGGGTGTACCTATGTATCATCCTCCGTCACACTTTGATGGTGTAAAGACAAGATTTATTTTGCTGAGGTATCCTACAGGTATGAGGTCTTTCAGTCAGACAGTGAACAGTGTTTTCTCAGTCATCTTTGTTAGAATATGTCTCATGAGTTAGGGCCCAGGGTCTGACAGACTAAGATCTCAGGAAACTCATACATTTACCATAAATGCAAATTTATGAATTTTAGTATCATTAGGGAAGGCAGGACTTTTATTACTACAGTAATGCTCTAAGTTATTTCAGTCAGGTAAATCTATAAAATCCTAAAAAGTCTACATTACAGTGGAATTCAAAAAGGTAAAATTATGATTGCCAGAAGAATGTAAAATTAACATGTTTTTATAATTTTGTCAGCCATCAATTAATGAGGGAACAAGTAAGATATAAAAACCAGTTCAAAGAAAAATAAGAACAGATATGTATATATAAAACAAAAATAAATGTATTAGTCCCTTCCTATCACTGAAACAAAATATTCAATACTTGCAATTTAAAGGAAGAGAGGTTTATTTGAGCTCATGGTTGCAGTGGGTTAAGTCAAAAGTTGACTGACTTCAAGAAAGAAAGGGAAAGAAACAAGGGCCTTGTGGAGGATAGCTGCTTATCCCATAGCAGCAAGAAAGCAGAGACAAAGAGAGAGACAGAGAGACAGAGAGAGAGAGAGAGAGAGAGAGAGAGAGAGAGAGAGAGAGAGAGAGAGAGAAGAGAAAAGAGCCAAGGACAAGAATGTATTCTTCCAAGTCACATACCCAATAACCCACATCTGCAGACCAGACCCTACCTCCAAATACATGAGATATTTGGGAGACGTTTTAGAACTAACCATTATAATGAGGAAATGAATCTGCTAATAAATGCAAAACTGCTTAATATCTTACAGGAAAAATAGTGTTTGATATAATTGTTTCTACATTATGCCTATCGATTGCCTTAATACACATTCATTTGCACTTTGATAAACAAGAATCATTTGTGTTAGTAACATTTTCTACAATTTACTGTACAGAGTTATAATATCGCTTAGTAAAGAAAATCTAAGGATATGCTGCTATAGAATCAAATAATACTAGAAAATCCTTTTTGGGACATCTAGCATTCCACTGAAAGAAAATCTTCTCATCTCTTTTGCCTATTTCAACATATTTCATAATTTTTTTTTCTAAAATTACAAGATCAGTATTTTATTTTAAGCTATAAAAAAGCAATAAGAAATGGTATTTTCCTTCTAAGTCACATTGCTTCAGTATTTCTACATGTCATCATTGCTTTTACAAGTTATACTGCTTTAAATTTACTAAATAATTGAGACTTTATGGGGAGGTGAGAGAGAGCCATTATTAACAAGGAATACATTCCAAGGCTTTGACAACAACACCTGCTGTGGGTTGGCAGCCTATAGATATTACACTAATTCAGAGGTAGTACCTTAATTGCATCCTAACTGATACAACATGTAGCTATCCCCATATAAAATTGTATGTTTCTTCATAACATTTATATTCAAAGCCTGTGGTGGGAAAGCCCAGTGAAAAGTGCTAAGTGTTGACTTTCTGGTTGGATCTTGCTTCTTGTCAGTTAACCAGCTGGTTTGCCAATAAGTAAACAAACGGTCTGATTAAAAGCAAGAGAAATTCTGGCTCAAAATCAGCAGTGTTCAATAGTGACTGAGTAAGTGAATGTGTAGCTAGTTCTGCAGAGCGTTTTTCTGCCGAGTTCATCCAAGTCAAGTTCTCAAAGACTAAAGTTCTAAAAGTACCTTCTGATGAGATGCAGAAGTTATTTATTAAACCTAAGATATACACAACTTCACTTTTGCATTGCTAATTGATCCCTTTCAAAGCTGGTTGACACTTTCGACTCCTTTGAAATGTCCTTACCTTATCTTCTTTTAAAAGTAGAATTGATTAGTTCTTGTGAGAAGAACCAAGGCTACCATCGCCTAGTCTGGTCTCTCTATTTAAGCTGCAATACACATAATAGGACAAATGAAGTTCATTTTAAATTACCTGAATATATTTTCTATACTGTATCTGGTGCCATGCACACATACAGTGAGTCAAAGTACTTGAGCAACACACTTAAAATCTTCTTTCGAACATCAGTCCCTTCAAATAACTGAATTTTTTCTAGCAACTAGGTTCTGCTTAGTTTTTAGCAATTTGTTCTGCCTTTTATAATGATTCTTTAACATGTTCAGCTTTGTTGCTGCACAAGAGAGCGACGCGCTGAATTCACACGCATTTACTACAGTGTTATAGACCAACCTTCTGAACAGCGCTTGGCTTGCATTCCAGAAAGCTATGAGTTATGACAGAAGGAGCAGAAAGTCTTGGCAGGGCAACCGAAGTTCAGCTCTGAAAGCCATCCGAGAAATCACATGAGTGCTTAGGTACCAGAGTGCTGTCCTTGCCTTCCTGGCCTTTATAGAGACGCAGTTTTCCTATGGTCTCTGTTGATTTATGAGGAAAGCAACAGCAAATCTAGCTATAGCAAGTTCCTTTCCAGCCCTAAATTTATTGCAACCCTATGGCATAGATCTTATCTCACGAATGAAAACTGTAGAATGGAAGATAGATAGCCATGCCTGCCACAGTACCCTCCAGAGGGGGCTTTTTGCTGGAGAGAGTGTTACTGGGATAACGCAGCCCATCCTCAGCCTGAGTACTTAATTAGCTTGGCATTGACTCCACACGTGAACTTTTCAAAAGTTTTGTTGAATGAAATGAACAAGATGAACAGCTGTGGATGCTACTTTTATCTCGCTAGACACAACAGATTACCCTCAACAGTCTGTGGGAACGAGAGTGCAAATGTTACTTGTTACAACGGAGGAAACTGCACAGAGTTGCGTGCTGAATTAAAATGCATGTGCCGGCCAGGCTTCACTGGACAATGGTGAGTCACATGAGAACCTTATAGAGGAGAATGCTGGGTGAAAGAACAGTGGGATTGCTCACAGTTCATCTTCTCTAATTTTTCCTCTCAGTTCCCATAGGAAATTCTGTGCTGAAATACAGTTCCAGACAGAATCAAGCAATAAAAAAGAAGATAAATTACAGTATAGGTCAAAGAAGAGAACATTTTATTGGCCAAGATCTCGAGTAGGGAAATATGCGTTTTAAGATGTATAATATGTGTTTTGAAATAATTTTTTCTGATAGTTACTTCTGGAGTCACGATTTTCCCCACTAACTCTAATATGTGATGGAAATATGATTACCATTGAAGTAAAAGAAACCTAAAAGATTGCCTTGCGGAATTACCTACAAGCCCCAAAGCCTAACATTTCATCCAGATGATTCTGCTTTTCCTGGAGAAACACTTCAACTCTTTCTTCACCCAGTGAAGGGACAGTCCCTGGCTTCACACAATCTGTAAGCTGCTAAAAGTGTAGGCAAAAAATGCAGTATTTGATGGGCTGGAGATGAGATCAAGAGAAGAAAAGTATGTTCTCTATAAATCTTAACAGATTTCCAAAGGAATCTATCCTCTAAACGGTTGCAAATCTGGCCTTTGTAGGACACAGATATTATAGAGACAAATACACATTAGCCATTCATTTAGCATTATGTCATGAACCTTACAATAATGTTCCTAATTCTTAGAACTCTGCAAGGAAGGTTTTATTGTTTTTATTTCAGAAACTAAGGTTGAGCGGTTAATTTGCATATTAGGTGCCAATTCAATTGTATGCCAGAGGAAGTTTGAGCTGTCTTCAAGGCCTCTGTTCATCTGTTGAAAATGCTTGCATAATTATATGAATGAATCTTTACTCACCAATTATTAAGGAAATAAAAATGTGCTCTTCCATCTCATTTATCACCTGGAATGAGGTATAGAATCTCCGATCAAATTTATGCATTGAACACATTTTAAAATGTCAGACACAACTGATAATTATTTTGGCCAAATTAATTTCCCCTTAAGAGTAGTCAACAAAATAATGGATATATGTGTGCTCCAATTATGCTTTGTACTAATTTGATTTTCTGTTTTTCAGGTGGCTCTTTTAGAATCATGTAGTTATAGCTGATTTGCCAGTTTTATAAAACAGGAGGAAATCCAGGCTATACCTGCATATCACCCTTGAAAAATGCTAGGTGACATAGGTAGCACAAATATACCTGAACTCAGAAAGCATAGAGTGAAGCCACATGCCAGTTTCGATATACCCATTTATTCCGTGCGGTTACTAACTCAAAGATCATTCAGTTGACCTCCGATTGCATACCTTCAAAACACCGATACTGTAAACCTTTCCTTGTCCTAAATATCCAGCCATTCCTTAACTATCTTTAAGTTGCTTCCTGGCTTCATCTCACAGTTTCTGTAAAAGGCACAAAGCACAGAGCTCACCCAAAGCATTGGATTGTTTTTCTCTGCTACTCATTTACAGCATTGTCCTTACAACAAACATTATATTTTCCTCTGATACGTATTCATTTTAAAAATTCACATTTGGCATTTAAATTATTGATCTAAAACATTGAAAAGAGAGAAAGCTCAGAATTTTCCTTTCTTTCATAGGAGACTTTTTTCTTGGATAAGCTTCTCTGATGTACAATGAGTCTGAAACAGCAAACCATTGTTCGACACATTCTGCACTTTCAGAGTCCTTAGCAATCCTTAGTTCCTTCACTGGATGCTAATGGATTTATTTTGCTTTTGTATCTATTAATTATCGTCTAATGAAAGTACCATGGATGATTGTAATACATTCATATGTGTCATTCACTGTTTAGTACAAAATAGAAACAGGTAAGAAAGCAAGAGAAGAGTAGGTAGAGAAAGACTAGAAAGTGTGAGGCAGTTTCTCAAGAGCTACAGAAATGAGGCTTCTGTAACATCCAAGGATACTGAAAAGCTGTCCTCTAAGGAATTGGCTTCTCTCCTGCCTGGTTAAACCTTCTTCTTCGCACTATCATCCCGGCAGGTTGTGAATGATGGATGATGTGCACACTCTGGCCCACCCAGGACACAGAATGCTTGGCAAGCTCCTGTGAGTTGTCAAGTTTTGCTCAGCGCTAATCAAAGGGGTTTCTTTCCAGCCCAGAAGCTTAAGCCAAAAAAGGAAAATAAAATGCCTCAGCTATGCTTGGTATCTCACAGGATAAGGATTTGTTTTTCCTGGGAGAAATCTTCCTTTTCTTTTATACTTTGGATGGCCACAGCCACATGACCTCATCCTCTCATTCTAGCCTGTGATTAGTCTCTGACCCAAATATGGAAGCGCTATTTTTTGGGAGGTGGGAAATTAAAAAGTGTAACTTCTGCATCACAAGATTGTTGAAGAGATCCTTGAAGCTAAGGTTTTTATATGGATTTCCTAAAATAATACTGATGTGTTAATTACTGTCCTATCCCATGGTCTTAGGAGAGTGTTCAGCAGGTGGTAAATAAATAACTAGAGTGATGATATAATGTTGTTGAATTGGTCAATGCCTATACAGATAAGCAAGTTGTTGGTTACAGATAATGATAATTTACTATTTTAAGCAGCTAAATGAAATGAATTGAAAGTATTTCGCCAAAAAGAAGTGATAGGTGCTTCAGATAGATATGCTTAACCGGATTTATACATCACACAACATACACATGTGTCAAAATATTATGGAGTACTCCATAATTATATACATTTTTTATGTTTTATCTATCAGGAAAGAAAACAAGTTGTTAGTGGAAAGCTAGGTAGAAAGGGGCAATGCTCAGGGAAGAAGAAAACTTCAATTTACCTTAGAATTGATGTTGCTTCTTTTGCAAAGTTTGCTTTTGAACGTCATTTTATTGAAACAGAAATTATGCTTAGCTTGTGGAATGCTGGCTTTTATTATTTTTTGGCAAGTGAAATCTTCTATTACCTACATTTGTTTATGTTAAAATGGAATTTCAAAGAAAAATAATTTAGAATCTCCCAGAATTAAACCTTTTGTGTGTGTGTGTGTGTGTGTGTGTGTGTGCCTGAAACTGTGTTTGGTGGCTAGCCAGAGGCACTGAGGCGCTAGATTCTGACAGGCTGTATAGGCTGCTCACTGGATTAATGGTTGGCAAAATATAGCCTCACTTTCCTTGTTCGTCTGTGCACCTAATAAATATTTATAAGGTGGCAAACCCACCAGTGTTCTTGAGGGAGAAAGTGATTTCAGCATGGCCTGTTCCTCATGGATTCTAAATATCTACACCTGCTCTGTCCTTTTACTTAATTCACTGTGTATGTGCACATGTGTGTACACAAATGATTTCTGTTAAAACCAAAACCTGTGAAAGGGATTTTAAGGACCATCTCTCCTGCCATCAAGTGTAAAACTTTGGGGTTGGAAGCTAACATTATGCTGCTTTAGGTGGATAAGGCAAATGGCTTCATAGCCCATGTACTCAACTGAGCCCTGGGCGTCTGGTGTTTCTGTTTATTTTCAAGGTGTGAGACGGACATTGACGAGTGTGCCTCTGATCCCTGCGTCAACGGAGGCCTGTGCCAGGACTTACTCGATAGGTTCCAGTGCCTCTGCGACGTGGCCTTCGCGGGCGAGCGCTGCGAGCTGGATGTAAGCGGCCTCTCCTTTTATGTCTCTCTCTTGCTGTGGCAGAACCTCTTTCAGCTGCTCTCCTACCTCATTCTGCGCATGAACGATGAGCCAGTGGTGGAGTGGGGGGAGCAGGAGGATTATTAACATGCCTTTGAGCGTTCCCAAGCGTAAAAGCCGCTGAATTTCAAGGAACGGCTTGACTCATTTTAGATCTCTAAAACAGGAAAGAAGGGGGGAAAAGTAAAGTAAAAACCATCTTGAAAATTAATTCAAGGCTTATTTGAAGCATTTCACGAACACTTTGTGTCTGTATAAAATACTTCCTGAATCTAGCTTTAAAATGAAAAGGAAAGTTCTTAATATCACCACAAATATCTCGTTATTGAGTGCACTTAGCACAACTATGTTACCACTCTTAAAACTTGTGTGTTTATTCAAAGGAATTGGTGCCAGTTCTGTTGAGAGAGAGGAAGGGAGGGAGGGAGAGAGAGAGAGAAAGAGAGAGAGAGAGAGAGAGTGGGAGAGAGAGGGAGAGAGAACAGGGAATTACATCCCTGAAAATGCAGGAAGAGAAAGACCTGGTGTCATACTGAAGTTATACTCCACAAGTGTGATTTCTGATTTTATAAGACTTTCTTCCAACAAAAATACAAATAACCCTTTCTTTCTTTATCTTCTAATGTTTCCCCTTCCCACACAAATTCAATAGTTTCCGTTTCTGATAAAGTAATGAGTTTATTGACTTTGCTGTTAATATTTACTGACATACTGTTCTTTATACTAAATATCTTTGTGCGGATGTGTTCTTCCAAAGAAGACATTATTTGAAAGAGAAATTACTTTGATTCTATGAATTAATTCATAACAGTTAAAATAACAATAGCCTGGTAGATGTCATTTTGTAAATGTGTCTATATATTTAGGAGCTGCCCTTGTTTGAAAACATAAGGATAATTTATCCATTGGATGATACCCAATGCATATTTAGTTCTAATTGTTTTAAGCAAGTTGTTTTTCTGTGGAAATGACCAAGGTAAACCGACATGTACCACTGAAGACTAAAAGGACAAAATAGTATATTATAAAAGCAAAGAAAATGAATTCCATTTTATTTAGCAATAGTAATAGATTTTAAGTAGCCAATTCATATCCTGTGTAGTATTGGCAGACATTTCAAACTGGAAGTAACTACATTTAATTTTTTTCCTCTATACTAATCCATTTCTTTCACACTCAGGAAATGTGTCCAGCATACTGTGGTTTCAGGTTATCTCTTTCAAAGGGAAATTTTGTGACAAGAGAGTTGGAGGAACCTCTCCCACTAGCGTTTGCAAGTATTTTTTTTTTTCCAGTACCGGGAATCAAACTCATGACCTAGTGCTTGCCAAGCAGGCGCTGTGCCGCTGAGCTAAACCCCCAGCCCCTACAAGTATTTTCAATAAGCATTAATCAGGTTAGAACCCAGAGTACACATGTCATTTTCACTTTTACTCCCTCTTAGATACATCTACAATTGTGTGTTTATGGACCATTCCAAATGTTATATGTACTCTACCAAATATATTTAAGAAATATTCACTCACAGTGTCTTTCTCTGTACAATTATGATGTCTCTATTGTCACTGTAATTATCAATCACTTTTCTAATTTCCCAAATATCCTGTCATGAAATATCTGAATTTTAAAAATACTGTCTCTTTTTTCTTTATCCTTCTGTATGTTCAGCTGTGTTCTGTGTGGCTGCGGCTTTTACACATTTGCATAGGAAAATAAAACATTTTTTCTGCATTTCTTTTCTCATCTTTTGGTGATGCTTTTTGTTTCCCTTGACTGTGGCTTGTAGTGTGAGGTTCACAAGCCAGAAACACACAGAGAGAGAAACACACACATACATACAAAGCACTTAAGAAACACAGATGGTGGTACTGAGCTCCTGAATTGTAACCTCTTTACCCACGTATGTCATTGTAAGTAACATTGTGAGATCGAGGTCAACATCCTGTGTACTTTTGCTCTCCGGCAAGAAATAGTCAGCGTTCTAGAAATGATGGCGATCCTAATTGTTCTTACCATTGGTTTATACTGTCCCTGAGAAAGCTAATGTTTTCTTTGTCTTTTGTTTTTTGTTTTTTGTTTTTAGTTCAATCTACCTCCAAAGGTATCAGGTCACCTAAGTGACAAACGCAACCCTCCTATTCTGGACAGAACTTTTAAAACATAACCTGCATTTGCTTGAATAAACACCATTATTGTTCTCCTCATTGTTCAGCTTTAGCACCTGATCTAAAATGGATGTGTTTCTGGTCTCAGCCATGCTTCCTTCCTGTGTGTGTGTGTGTGTGTGTGTGTGTGTGTGTGTGTGTGTGAGAATGGGGACCTTTCGAAGAAAAGAGACATAGAAATCATAGGTAAATTGGAGAAATTGGTGTTTCGGTAGCAAGGAGAGACAATAAAATGCAGTTATCATTACTTAAAAACTTATTCTGTACCCAGATTGTGATAAAGCATTTTTAAATACATGACTTTTTCAGTTTATTTTCAGTACAAGGCCAATCAAAATTTCTTACATTCTAAACTCCTCACTAAATTTCTTTGGAAAGATCCTTTTTCCATTTCTGGGTTTTAAATATAATTTTTTATGTCTTCATTTTTCAAAATTGAAATGAAGCTTTTCCAAGCATCGGTGCTATATAGAATTCAATAATAATGTAAGTAGGAAACCAGTGAAGGTATCTTTTCTCTCAACTGCCAATATTATTGCTGCTTCGGACTATTTTACTTCTGTTACTTTTTGGACTCATTCAACAAATGCAGTGAATACCTACCATCTGCTATGCCTCATCGTAGGTGCTGGGGATACAACGAACAAATTAGAAATGATGCTTGCTCATAGCAAGCTGAAAATCTCAAAGAAAATATAGGTAAATGGAGAAGGGCAGGTACTAGGTCAGGTTTGGGTGGAACTCAGGACCAGCCATGAGCGTTGTACGTGGAAAGGGCATTTTTCCCAGTTCTAAAAGTGGATGTGGAAGATCGTGGACGTTTCCAAAAGCTGAAGCTTCAATGGGAAGGTAAGCAGGAGCTGGACTGTAGGAGGCATGAGGAGCGAGAATGTCCCCAGAGAAAGGCGCTGCACAGGCGGGGCCACGTGGCTGGAGCAGGGAGCGGGAGCCTGGGAAGGCTGAGGCTGTAGAACTACACAGCCCTTTTAAGCCATGGCTCAGACCTTGGTTTTTCATCGTAAGAGCAACAGGGAGTCTTTGAAAGGTTTCAAACAGAAAAGTCACATAATCACACTTGTACTTTTAAAGATCACTTCAGCTTCTATGTAAAGGACGGATTAAAAAGAAAAGCAAGACTGGATCCAGAAAGACATAGTTAAGAGGCCATTGCAGAAATGCAGACAAAATGAAAGGAGATTTTTATGCTACTTTATGTAGTTGAAGGTAATGTGGGAAAGTGGCTAGATTAACAAAGTGTAAGCAGTCATACCTTGTGATATGGAGAAGGTGTATTCTCAGGGGTGATATGCTGCACTTGGTGACTATTATTTTTTAAATATTTCTTTACTGAATAAATGAATGCGAATAAAGGTTTATAGGCTGTCCACATTATTAATTAATCAGTGTGACTATTCCAATTTGGAATTCAAGAAATAAATTGCGCTTGGTGTATAAACTAGAGACTCATGTTATAGATACATTGAATTTTATATTTCATATCTCCGTGGGTCCATATATATGAAAAAAAAACCCATCTATATTATCTAGCAATTGCTCTATAATAAACTCTACCTCAAATTTAAAACAACACACTCTCATTAGCACCCTGTTGCTCATGGCACTGGAGACTGCTCACAGCTTCCCTGGGTCCTGTGCTCAGGGTCTTACAAGGCAACGTCACCTAGGGAAGGAGTCACATCTGAAGCTCCACTGGGAAGGAATCCACCTGCAAGTCCACAGAGTTTGCTGACAGAATCCAGTTCTTCATGGTGGTGGAAATGGGGGCTCCAGTTTTTTGTGACTGTTGATCAGTGTCAGCTCCAGGTCACACAGGGTTCCCCAGTACAGCTGCCAACTTCTCCAAAGCCAAAATAGGAGAGAGAGATTCTGGCAAGACAGATGCTACAGTCTTATTTAACATAATCGTGTAGCCATGCTCATAAGCACATGCGTCCCAACACACTTGTCATACTCTGTCAGTTACGAACATCACAGTCCCGTCCGCACACAAAGGGAGAGGATCAGAAAAGATTAAACACCAGAGGCGGGGACTGTGAGGCCCGAGTTAGGAATTTCTATGTTCTCTTTCTCACCCTGTGCAGCATATATGCCTTAGGATCTATCTTCCAAGTACGATAGTCCACTGTATATGACCCACTGATGGACTTTTAAATTTCTATTACCCTTTAAATTGCCAGACATTTTATTATTTTGCACATCAACCTTTGTTTTTGCCCATGTCCTATTTTTCACTATAATTGCAGTTCCTTATTTCCTTTTGAATACTTGTGATCCTACTTCATGGTCACTTAAAGACTGTCCTAATAACTCAGACTCTCTGGGCGCTCATTCTTCTATTTTTATTTCTTCAGAATTTACTTATCAGAGTTTTTCCTCATGAGATTTGTAATTTTTATGGGTGGACACAACCTTAAGAGGATTTTCTTTTTCCTGTGGGAGTCCTCGTGCACTTGCTGGGTTGTATAAATGTTTCTGGCTATAATCTTAGCTTTGGTCTTTTGTTGGGCAGCCAGGAGCTTTATCAGTTCAGAGCCTATTTTTGTGTCGTCTGTTTAAGCATTCTCACTATATTCGGAGAGCTTAAGATGGGTTCCACGTCTAATTTCACTATAAGCCCTTTATAAAAACAAGTCAGGGCTTCCGCAGTCTCATTTCTTACCTATGCTCTCATAACTCCACTTTCCAGCTAGATGGGACTTGCTGCCTGCCTTCAGGCTCTCCGCAGCCTCTCACAGTTCTTCCTTTGCACGTGGAGTCTATCTGCCATTTCCTTTT